TAAGACTCCTATCCTAAATGTAACACCCTATTTGGAGTCACTTTTGTTCTTGGGCCCACCCCAAAAACTGACCGGAAGTGGCCGGAATTTCATCCCGAAATCCGGCCAAAACCTAATTCGAAATTAACTTTCAAAACTCCAAAATCATTTTAATCCTACACAACAGGCAGCTAGAACAGATAAAAAGAAGGAGAAACCTCACCAATTTTACCTGAAAAGGACGGCGGAGGCGGCGGCGCAACGACCGAAAAAATCCGGCTTAAACCAGTCGAAACAGCCGGCTATTTTCAAGTTTTCCGGCGGGGAAAACTGATGGGTCTTGACCGGAACGTCAAGACGAAGCCAACAAGACCGATATTGGCCCCTGCCGTGACCTGAGCTGGAAGAAACGAAGAGAGAGGAAGAGAGTGTCGGGTCGGGGGGAAGAAGAGAGAAACCGCTCGGGGAGAGAGAGAGAAAAAGAGAAATAAAAATAAAAATAAAAATCTGATTTTATTTTGACAAAAAACCCTTTTCGAGTTATTTACGGTTTTGCCACCGAAGGAAATTTCATCGCCAAAACCTCGGTATAACTCCGATTCAAGCCTACCACCTGTCCACGAATTCATCTCAGAACCACCTACGCAACCAAACCACTTGTGGTCCCAAAATCCTTCCGGACAAGAAAAGGACCGAAAGACCCTACCCCAAAGGTAGTTTCATAATTTCATAGTTTAATTGAGTTTTTCCATTCGCATTGGAAAGTAAACGGAGTCGGGGTGTTACATCTGACGTCTTCAAAGCTCTAGGCGCATGCGCAGTTCCAATCATGACTTCGAAGTAGTGGTGCATTTATTATATATATACATTATTATAACCAAAACAGATAATTTTACATCCTTATATATGAAATGAAACTAATTTATTACAAATTATATAACGAATATTAAGGAAATATACTTGTTAAAGTGACAAACATATATACTTAGGGTTAAGAGGAAAGTGAGTTATGTAAACAATTTTTGAATTTGTAATTGCGAAATGGATGATTTATGGGTTCCATAGTTTTATAACGTCACAAGGAGGCCGAAGTATTTTTCAGGGCATTTTTAGGATTTTTCTACTATTTATTGCATTTTTTCAAAGATTTAATTGCCAAATGGACACCTGGAGCGATCTCACCCCCTCACCTTTCACCACTTGACAAGTGTGTGTCAGTCAACATGGCCACATCCTTACCTTTCACCCTAAATTATTATTTTTTTACTTTTTCTTAGAAAATTCATAACTAAATACACAAAAATCAGAAAAATGATCCGAAAATTGCTACGAGCTCATTGAGACTCCATCTCTTTTGCTGAATTCCTCGATTCGTGGTTACGCATTTTAAAAATCAGTTCCGAACATTAACGGGAGATGCTTGTTGAAGTAGGTTATTGAAGTTAAAGTTAACAAACATATATACTTAGGGTTAAGATGAAAGTGAGTTATGTAAACCAATTTGAATGTTTTCATTGCGAAATGGATGATTTATGGGTTCCATAGT